GCGCCGTTTATCGGTTGCGGGTTTTGCAACAGTGGTGAAAGAAAACTCGGATTTTTCCGCAGTTGTCTTAGTGCTTTGTGATTCAGCCGTCAGAATTTCCCAGAAGTGGTGGATTAAATTCTGCTTTTATACCACCCGTGGAATGTTTTTCTGGGTGTGATTTTCTGTAAGAAAAAGAGGTAAATGTCACTTAATGAAATGCTCTGGGTTTTTCTGGCCTCAGAGTTAACAGCTGCAAAAAACAACGTGGATTATATTTCTAGGGAAGCACAGGTCTCAGGTTCTCAGACTTGGTTTTATTTTGATGAGGACATTCTTAATAAATGGAGGCAATATTAGTGTTAGGTGGTACTGCTGCCTTTGGCTTCTTTCTTACGGTTTCTGACTGAACAACAAGGCTGTGAATGAGAAATTCCCGATACTTTTGAAAAGCAGAAAGCTGAGCCACTAACTGCCGTGGCTTTATTATACAAATACACTGTCTTTCAAATTCTCCAGGACTACGTCTGGGAAGACGGAGGCATAGTCCTGCCGTCTTTCCCCCGGTGTTATCTCTCTAGCAGTGTTTGTGTTTGTCATCTTCCTGTTCTACATTTAGTGATGTACTGGTTTGGAAACCTGAGGCGTGCTCATGCAGCCCTTGCATGTCCCCAGGGCTGGAGTTGTCCTTCTAAATTCACTAAGCCAGAGCAGTGGTTTATGGTTTCACGTTCGGTGTGGCAGTCGAGTGACCAGAGGCATAACCACAGCCATCATTATGAAGTCCTAGCTCGATAAATACCCCTGAACGCCCTGTTAAGAAATGCTAAGAAGGGATTCAAGTAAAACTTTTTTTCTTTTCTTTCCCCTTCCCCCTCCCCTTCGGTTTTGATAGAATGGAGCAGTGTTTTCCAAAGTCAGAGGAAGCCAGTCAGGCCAAGGCGGCACGAGATGGGTACGTACAGCGTCATGGGTTCATACAGCCCTTCTGCAGTTGCAGAGAACGCACACAGAGTTGCAGACTTGGGGCCCAGCTCTCTTCTCTCCTCACTGGGGATTTTTTTTGGTTTTAAGGACTAAGAGATACTTTCTTGCCTTGAGTAGAGTTAAAAAATCCCTTTAAAACGGAATTGAGAAACAGCATTATAATGTTTTAAGAAGCAAAACTTGTTTAAGTTTTGATCCAAGGTTTTGTGTTTTTTTCAGAGTATTGAAAAAAATGGCTTATTTAACATGCAGCTTGGTTTGATAGTAAAAGAATTGGCTGCAGATCTCAAATCACAAAGCACCTCTTTGCTTGCTCCAGTTCTTTGCCCTGCTGCTCAGTATTTTATATTGCTTGGTTGTGCTGGTCATGGAGCTCTCCACAAGGAGGAGGTTGTTACATCTTCGTGTTCACCGACTGCTGTATTCCAGCATTCAGACACAGTGCTACGAGTGCCATTGGAGACTTGAAATTAGATTTTTTTTTTTTTCTTTGTGTGTCTTGCTCAAGGTTTTCAGGATTGGATGCAGCTAAAACATCCTGTTGGCCTCAGGGAATCAAAAGCTCAGTTATGATATTTGTAGTTAGCCCTTGTTTGGAACGCTTTTAGAAAAGTCCTTTGTTAACACATCTAGTGGAAAACCAGCACAGGTGGTTAAAGAGAATGTTTCACTGGCACCTGGCTGCTTTGTCCTTTGGATGCAATATGATAATGTTGGTAGTTGGGAAAACAGCCATTTAAATGTGCTCTGCTGAGCAAGAGGAAGTGTGCTCTGATGAAGAGCTATTCTTGGGGCTAATGCAAACCAGCTGCTTGTTTGTGCCAGGAACACCTCGCTATTCTTGGAGGTGACACCCCTTGAGCTAAGAGATCACTAAGATCTAAGAAATCAGTAAGAGAGCACCCTTGCTTCGGGCTGTACAGCACAGGTCATGCTGCTGCCTACATTTCTGCCCTCACATTGTTCCTTCTCTCTGAAGCCAGAGCCTTGTGCCAAAATTGGAGCTTGGACTGTGGAGTCTGGTTGAACAGACTCAGCAGTTAGACAAGAGGAAGGTTCAGTTAGGAAGTCAGGGTCACCTTGCTGGGCAGGTGGCTTAGGCAGCAGGATGTTGTTTTCCTTGGTCACACCTATTCTAGAAACCTTGAGAGGTAACAGACATAAAGCACAACAGTGCTGTTCTAAGCAAGTATTTTTGATTAGAACAAGTACTTTTAAATCATTAAATTTAACAGTTAAATACAGGAATTACATATTTGGTACCAGGATGGCTATGACTTCTGTAAGTGGCTTCTGTGTGCTATGGATGTTTAAATGTACTTTATTAAAATTCTGTATTGAGTCAAGAATGACATCAGCTAGCTCCCTCACTCATAGATACATCACATCTCATCCAGTTGATTCAAGTGCTTTCAAACTCAGCCTAGAGCTGGAAAAAATCTAGAGTTCAGTTTAGAGCCTGTTCTCAAGTCTAGCACTCTAAAAGTTGGAGTGCTTTAACTTGTAGAAGGTTCTCACTGAAGCTGAGATGTTTCTACACTAGTCTTAGAGACCTGGAAGGCCTGAGAGCAGCCTCTTATTCTGAAAGAGAAAGTCTGAATTTCCACAATTGTTCATGGAAGTAAAGTGCACACTCAGATGATGTAGTAGAAGATACAGTTTCCTTCTGTGAGTGGGTTGGCTTTTTTTCCTTATGGCATTTGTATGCTTAAAGATGGTGTTTCTAACTTAGAGTTGTATCCTCTGTCATACAGCATGTGGTTAGGAAGTTCCTAGGCTTAACAGCCAGTCACAACATACAAGTGTACTTGATTGATCCTTTGATTCTGGGACTGCTCGATAAAGACATTGAACAGATCAGAAGTTCTCCCGATGGCCCTAGTCCAGAATGCAAGTACTTTTGTGCTCCAGGAGACTTCACTACATTTGCACTACTGGACAAAATGTGGAAACATGAAGTAAGTGCCTCTTCTTCAGTTCACCTTTGTGTGTAGTAATGCATTCATCTCTTCTGTGGTTTTATGGCATGGTGCTTTCGTGTTTGTATTGAGGCCTCTGAATTCACTGTGTGGAGATCTTGTAAAGATATTGGTAGAGGAAACTCCTTTTTTGAAAGTAAAAATTATCTAAGCACTGGCCTGGATATATTGAGTAATTTGCAGATAACTGGAAGTTTTTAGAAGCTGTCTGCCAATATTCATAAACTCTCGTAGCAGGAGGCCGTGCCAAAAACAAGACAGTGGTCTGTTGGGAAAGGAGGAGAAGAACTTCAAGCCTGTAACGTACATACAGCCATAGTAAATCTTGAATTTAGGGATCTATCGAGGGAATGTAGATATTGATGTGACAAAGCTGGAAAGATTATCGTAGTCTGCCGATTTATGTTTCTTTTAGTACACCCTAGTACTTAACACCATTTTAATTTGTCACTTAGTGCATTGGTATCTCTACTTCTTTTTGTCTTTTGAGTTTTTTTTTAATTAATGTGTTAAGAATAAGAATAGAGGTGTAGCGTGCGATGAAGGACGAAATGGAATCCCAGAGTAGTTCATCAATTAAGTGCCATCTGGAAATGTTTATTAGATTAATTTATAGCGACTGAAGATACCAGTGACAAACAGCTTGCTTTTTTTTTTTTTTTTTTAAACAGCTGTAAAGGATTTACTGAAACTGAGAATGAGGTTGTGTGGCAGCACATTATTATAAATCCATCTCCCCATTCCTTTGTGTCTCATTGATAATATCTGTGGCATCTAGAGAAGCAGCTGATATACCTATATAAAACAATTCAAGGGAGATAATTGGAAGGGTCTTCAGATGCTGATCGATTCTTTTCTTACCAGACAGAGTTTCTGCCCCTTTCTCTATGGAAATAGAAAGGCCTGTTACATAGTGTGATGTTTGGTGAGATTTAGACAAATATTTATGTACATCATAAAAGGAGATTTGCAGTAATCTCTTTTTTTTTTTTGTATTAGTGGTATCATTATTCAAGGATTTAGGAACGCCAAGTTTGGCACAAGAAAAATTTCAGAGGACAGTTTGAGAGTACAGGGAAGAGTTCTGTGGCAAGAAGCAAACCTAGTCCAAGCATGGCTCATAACATTTATTTGTTGTTTTATTGAATAGTTTGGGAGACAAAATTTAAGAAGGAACTACAGCGGTTGGAGTTGCTTGTAGTTGCTGATCTGGAAGGTCTTGGATATTTTTGAGTAGTTCGTGCTTAAGTCTGATTAGAAAATGAAAATGGGAAATCAAGTCAGTTAATAATAAACGTGTAATTTTGGTTTCTCTACTCTCCCTCCACACCCCCCTTTTTAGGTGGGCCTTTTTAGAACTGCTGAGAAAATGGGGTTCCAGTGGCTAAAGATTATAAATAAGGACCCTCGTTTGGATGGAATGGATGACTTGTCTGGGACTGAAATTCCTTTGCACTACATATTTAAACTAGCATCTCATGCCATCCACCTTGTGGTCTTCTATGAGAGGAGCGGCAATTATCTCTGGCACGGCCCTTTGAGACTAAAGCAACACATGGACAGGAAATTTGTGCCTTTCCGGAAACTCCACTTCGGTCGCTACCCTGGGGCGTATGAAAAGTGAGTTCAAGCCAGAGGAGGCAAAAAGCCATAACTGGCACTCCCAAAATAACTTCTTTCTCCTGTATGGCTGATAGGTATTTGCGGTGTATACAAAAGCTGAATGCAGCTATTGAATGTTAAGGGAAAAGGGGAAGCAACAGAAATAATTCAGTAGCAGTCCAAGTAGTCAGTGTTGAAGAACATGAGTAAAGAGAGGCAACATTTGTACCACAAAGATCTGTGCCAACCGTTGTGTCTAAACTCAGGCTCTAGGTAATGTTGAGCGGACTCCTTTCTTGCCTAAACGTTTGAATTGGTGTTGTTATTTGCCCGTAGTCTTACATAAGGCTGTTGTAAGTATCTGCCTTTTCCTAAGATACTTCAAATAGCAGTATTTCAGGAAATAACAGGTCATGACAGATTTGTAACTATTTTCAAATCCAAACACACACCACTAGTCATTGAGAACAGTGTTCCTGTAGGGTATGTGTATACGCCATAAATCAGAGTAAAACAGCCAGACTCTTCACAGGTCAAAGTAAATCTGTTTTAACTTTTTCCTCAAAATTGACACCGTTCTTTCTTCCTTTCAAAGCATGGAACCTGTACCAGCTACATGCCTAAACATTTCAAGCCAACTGTATGAGCTGTTAAATAGCATGTTTCATTCATTGTGAAGGCTGAACAATTTTTAAATGTTAGATGCAAATGCCCTCAAAATACAGGGTAAAATTTGGTTCTGAAGTGCATCCAGACAACTAAATGAAGAGCCTGAATTTTCAAACATGCTGAACAACAACTCTGAACAAATTCAGGGCAAGTCATGAGTCAGTAGAAAGAAATTGGTGATGTGGGCTTGTAGGCATAGAACTTCTTAAACAGAATTTTTGAAGTGTATAGGGAATTTGTTGAAGCTCAGTTTTGGGTATCTGTGAAGAGAGCAGTCAGGGCCAGTAGCATGCATCAGGATTTTAACCTGAGCAGGAGGAAAAAGTGGCTTGCGGTTTGTAAAGAAGTTGAATGGGGTAATGTGTCATCTTTCTTTTCTTGCAGGCCAGAACTTCTGCTTGTTTCCATTGATGACTTAAAAATTCAAATTCCAAAAAATCCATCCACTTTTCTAGAGGAGATGTTACACTCTAGGTTTCTTGAATGTAGGTACAGAGAAGCTCGGGCTTTCTTTCAGGTTAGTGGTAATTGGGTGGTGTCTTGAGATGTTACATGTTTTCACTGACTGACCAAAATATGCAGTTAACATTTTCTTACCCAGATGGGAGTGTTCATATACCTAAAACTAAAAACAGCCTCGAGGCTCAATCAAATCTGAGTTTAGTAAGTGACAATAAAGGTAAAACTTTACCTGAAAGTCATGGTCTGTCTTTTTACCTTGTGAGCGCGTTTTTTTTTTCCATTTTCCAAAACTTTGAAAGGAACAGGTAGCCAACAGTTACTCTACAGTTCTCACATTGTTACTGTTAAATAGCTTTCATGTTAATAAGATTAAGATATTGTGTATCTTTGTGGTTAAAATTTTTCTTTGTGGCAATTCTCTGAGTAGTAATCCATTTTATATTCCTTATAAGTGCGCTGCAGTTACACGTTTCCTAGGTCAGTTTATTTGAAATGGTGTGTTCATTCCAAAACTACTTATTTAATTGTTTTTTGACCATGTAAGCCAATGTGTTCACCGCTATTTGGAGCATTATTTTTAGAATATTGCTACCTTATTTAGGAGATAGTAGAAAACTTGCTGCTGCAGGATGGGAGAGCATTCTGTCCTAGCTTGAAAAGGACTGAGATATGAAGTGGTCAGGAGTTACCACAGTTCAGACTGGAGTCAGAATCAGGTCCCTGGATTTCAGATATCTCCGATTTTGTTTCGTGGAAGGGGAAAAAAGATGTGAGAGGTTCCGTTCTTCAGACATTCGAGGTCTTGGGGAAGGGAGGACCATTCTTTTTGAGTCCATGTAGCTCCCCATATGTGTTGCAGGATGCTTACTGTACCCAAAGGGTACCTGTGTGTTGTCCCCTCACCTGTAAAGGACAGAAATTGTAAGCATGCTCCACATGAGCTCTAAAACCTCCAGGCTGTAATTGCCACAGGCAGAGAAAACGTACCTCAGAAAGCTTTCTGAACTTTGCTGAAGCTTTGAGGTTGTAATGAGCAGTTCTTCTGAAGACTGTTTGTTGTCCAGGAACTCTTAATGAAATCGGTCGTGAGGCTGAGTGGAGTGTTGTTCCTGTGTGTGATTTGGTAACGTCTGCCCAGAGTGGAGTGCTGGTTTTGGCTTTGCGTTAACAGAAGATCTTGCCACGGTTGTCACTGGAAGATGGGCATGATTTTCTGTTGACTGTTTCTGCTCTGTGGCAGAAGTTGTCAACATCCACTTGTGGCACTTGGTGGCGCCAAATTAACTAACGTGCTGCCAGAGGCAGCTGGTTCTGTCCCTGTTGTCCCCCTGGACTCTGGGTATTGGCTTCAGCATGGGCAGGACTTGTGTTCTTCTATCCTACTGCCCAGGGCTGAGAATCAGCATGTCTAATGCACATATTCTTACTCTATTTTACTGTGACTTTATGTTCTTCTAGTTTGGAAAAACTGAAGATTGATGTTTCAGAATTTTAAATTGTAACCTGTCATTCTAGTGCATGTTCTCAAACCGGGCTGTGTATGTGAAAAGAGATCCTGCTCAGATACTATTTAAGCTATTTAAGTAAAGTTTTAAAGGTTTTTTTTTTCTTACAACACTGAAAAATGAAGGGACAAGTTTGCTCTCTGACAAGACCTTGCTTACTCTGCCTTCCAGCTGTATCCTGATGATGCCTCTCTTGATGCAGTGGAGTTCAGAAAAAAAGCAAAGGCTTTGCTCCATCTGGCTGCCTTGACACTGAATACTTTAGGAGTAAAGTTCTGGCTGAGCAGTGGAACGTGTCTTGGTAACGTATTTGTGTTATGATTCATTTTTAAACTCATCTGAAATTTTCAGCCTTTCATCCTCTGTGGTTTTGATGTCCGCTTAGGTGAAACGTGTCATGTTGGAAAGTAATATGTGGCATTAGTTGTGTTGAAATAGGCTTTCTTGCTCCTGACAAAGTGCTTTTTCTTTAGAAACCAGAGCCTTGGACATGCTGAGCAAATTTCCAGTGAAGCATTTAATGTTTTTAGCAATTATCTGTGTTCTGTTCACCACCGCTTAGAAAGTAATCAGCAGTTCCCTAAATTGTGTGACCTGGAATTTGCTGAAATGCTAGTTGAAAAACACAGTGATAGGTACATATATCTGCTGTCCGTGTAGACTCTCACCTGTTATTTTTTTTCTGTCCTTGCAGTTTGGTGGTTTCCACTGACTTACAAAATACAGTTTGCATTTATTTATTTTTAAACACATCCTTTTAATAAAATGTCATCCTATTAGAGTAGGTACTGCAATTTTTTGATTCTGCTGAAGATGGAAGTGGTATCACTGGTGAAGATTATTTTATTAGCAAAATAGATGGTAAAAATTTGTGTGTACACATTTGACTTGTATTTGCTTAGTCCTAGGGAGTATAATTTTATGAATTAACAGTTACTAAAAGCTGCTTTAATGAAACAGGCAACAGGATGTCCCACTTCTTGTCTTAGTGTTCTGTAGTAATGATGGAAAGATGATGTAGGTAATAATTAAAATAATAGTGTCAAATTAAAAGCACACCTGTAGCCCTGTAACTTCATTACTGATTAGATTAGGACCAGATCAAGAATATTTTTTCTTTAAAGGCATTTAGATTAGAAAGCTGAAGATGTGTTATCTCTGAAAGAGTGTTTTCTATCTCATTCTTGGCCTTCTGGATGAAAGAACTGGCTGTAAGAGCAGTAAGTTTCTTTCAATGTGGTTAATTTCATAGCAGAGAAAGGTAGAAGTATTGTTTATGGGCTCATCCAAAGATCTCTGCCTGGGGACCTTGTGACAGTTCACTTTTATGTTACTTTTGTTCTGTTGGTACATCTCATGTGTTCCTGAATTAACTAGTTTGTTTTTTCTTTTCCTTTTTTTTTTCCCCTTAGGCTGGTATAGACAGTGCAATGTCATTCCTCACAGCAAAGATGTGGATTTGGGAATCTTTATAACAGACTACAAAGCAGATATCATTCCAGCCTTTCAGAAAGCAGGGTTACCACTGAAGCACAAGTTTGGCAAGGTACATAGATAAGAGACAATTTGCTTATGTGTTTTTTTTGGTAGGTTCATAAGTACAGCTCCAGATCACTTAGGTAGAAGTGGGTGTCTGAATCTCCTCGGCAGATGTGTACTCATTAGGGCTTTACTTAATCCTATAACTTTGTTGATTTTTGTGTGTTCTCTTGGACAGTGTGAGAGAAAATATCCTTCCTAATAGCTTCAGCCCTGATTAGGGAGTCTGAATTCCACCTCAGAAGAAGTTTTCAGGAAATTTTAAAAGGGTCTAATCTGTGTCAGTGGTGCTAGAACCAAGGTAGGATTTAGCCTTATATGTAGAGACTGGATGGGCCTTATCGTTGGGAGGATTTGTGATAGCTCTAAGATTATCTGTAGCCCTGTATGTAAAACTAACAGAAAAGGAAGGATAGCCTGAGATGGGCATTGGGCTTGTTCGTTATTAGCTTCTGTAGGTCTTTATTTAGCTTTTCCAGAGTGTAGGCTGCAGAATGCTAGAGAAAAGAAAACAAAGGAGTATGGAGGTTCAGCCACAGTTCAAGTGATACTTCATTACTGTTCCTAGTGAGTGTTTTATGATAGGGGAAGTGTGTTAACTGAAGACAGTTACTAAATCACGTGTTTGTTCTCTGAGATTATTTTGCTTGTGGCAAAACACAGAGAGATGATGCTGAAGCTTTTGGGGCTGAAAGGAGGAAAGAGAAGGTAGTCCCACTGAGATGCAGAAAATTTCCAGTGTTCTCAAGGCATAAAAAAAAAAAAATTAAAAAAAAAAAAAAAAAAAACAAAAACCCATAATTGCAGAATTAGTGTATTTTCTTCTGTTAGGATAGGAATCACTGCATACCAGACCAAAATACCTCTGTCTTCTGAAACCTGCTTACATAAGTAGCCTTGCATTTTTATGAGTATATACACCGTATATTTTTGTCTTGCAGGTAGAAGATAGCTTGGAGCTTTCTTTTCAGGGAGATGATGTGAAACTTGATATTTTTTTCTTCTATGAAGAGGATGACCACATATGGAATGGAGGAACTCAGGCTAAATCTGGCAAGAAATTTAAGTATGAACTGGATTTGTACCTCTAAAAGGAAAGAAATTGAATAAGTTAAGTGTTTAGCGTTGGCATTTTGTGTGTCGTGTGTGCCTGACGAAGTGTGGGTTTTTTGGGGGAAGAGCAGTTATCAGAGGACAGTCAGTGGAGATTTTGCACTTTGAGGCCAGAGAAGTGGAAAGAGAACAGTACTATGCCGTACTGGAGAGGGGCTGGCCTTGTCAAGTGTCAGTTCTCTTGTGTAGTCAAAAACAGTGCTGGAGTATCATGTGTCAAGCAGATCTTATCTGGACTGTGACAAGCGCTGAGGTAAACAGCTAAGATGAGAAAAAAAAATCTTAAAACTGTGCTTCTTGCACAAGCTATTTTTTGATGCAGCCTAGGGTGTGATTGGCCTTCTAGGCTGCTGCCGCCCACTGGTGGCTCATGTCCAGCTTCTCATTTACTGGTACCCCCAAGTCTTTTTCCAATGGACCGCTCTCTAGCATGTCCTCTCCCAGCCTGTTCTGGTAATGCTGGTTGCCCCTCCCCAGGTGCAGCACCCTGCACTTTGCCTTGTTGAACTTCATGAGGTTCACCTGAGCCCACCTTTCCAGCCTGTCCAGGTCCCTCTGGATGGCCTCCTGTCCCTCTGGCATGTCATCTGCACCTCCCAGCTCAGTATCATCAGCAGACTTGCTGGGGGTGCACTCGGTGCCACTGTCTGTGTCATTGATGAAGATGTTAAACAACACCGGTCCCAGTACGGACCCCTGAGGGACACCACTGGTCACTTTTGCCCAGCTGGACATCGAGCCATTGACCACTACCCTCTGGGTGTGACCATCCAGGCAGTTTCTTACCCACTGAACAGCCCACCCATCAAACCCATCTCTCTCCAGCTCAGAAAGGAGGATGCTATGGGGGACAGTGTCAAAGCCCTTGGCAAAGTCAAGATAGATGACACCCACAGCTCTTCCCTTGTCCACTGATGCAGTTGCTTCATTGTAGAAAGCCACCAGGTTGGTCAGGCAGAAGTTACCCCTGATAAAGCAGTGCTGACTCTCTTGAATCCCCTCCCTGCCCTCCATGTGCCTTAGCATTTCTTCTAGGAGGATCTGCTCCATGATCTTCCCAGGCACAGAGGTGAGGCTGACAGGTCAATAGTTCCCAGGATCTTCCTTTCTACCCTTTTTAAAAGACTTAGCATGCTTGATCTGAATGCTTGCAAAACCAGAATGACTGTCCATTTTGCTTAGTCGTCGACCCTTTCAAGATTCTGGGGGAAGGTAAAGCAAGGAGGTCAGCCAAAAGAGAAGTGATTGATCATGCCGAATCCTGTGTCCACTTTAGCAATTTTGAAGGATTCTCACTAGCTGTGTATATGGTATGGGAAGAGCTATTAGTTGCTACTAGATCATCACAGATCATCAATGATCAACCCCTCTGGTCCACCCTTGTGGTATCCCACCTGCAGTACCGTGTTCAGCTCTAGGGCCCCTGGCATAAGAGGAGCATGGACCTGCTCAGGTGGGTCCAGAGAAGGGCCATAGAAATGATCAGAGGGCTGACGCACCTCTCCTATGAAGAAAGGCTGAGAGAGTTGGTGTTGTTCAGCCTGGAGAAGAGAAGGGTCTGAGGGAACCTTACATCAGTTCTCCAGTACTTAAAGGGAGCCTATGGGAGAGGTGAGGAGGGGCTCTTTGTGAGGGAGTATAGTGATAGGATGAGAGGTCTCATTTAGTCTCTAATTGTTCATTAGTCATTTTTAGTCTCCAATTCTTGGAGTTCTCATTTCTAAACCCTAAAAGTCTTGCTATATGGTTTGGATTTTCATATACATAATTACTTCCTCAGCACTGCAGATGCAAGCATGTACATCTTCCTAGTCTTGTCCTGGAGTCAGAGACATTGAGACCTCCTATTTGTTTATAAAATAAATGCTGGAAAGTTGCATTCGTTAGCAGAGGAGTAGTATTTACAAAAACTGAATCTGGGAATCAAATCTATACTGTATGCTTTAATGCTTAAAATGAGTTGTAGTTTCCTATATGTCTAGAGGGCTTTGCGTAAGCATAAAATCTTCAGTACTTTTATGTTCAAAGATTGATGAGACCAAAACTGAAAGAAAAAATGGCGAGTGGTGTTAGTACAAGACACATACATACAAGTGTGTATGTGTGTAGTCTCATCCCAGCCACGTGGGATCAGCAAACAGTGAGGAAGGATTCCTGTAGTGTGAAGCGTCACTGAAAGCTACATTTTTGGTTGGTGAATGTAAACATTTGATTTTAATAATAGTTATATAATTATTTTTGTGAACTTTCCAACGGACTTTATAATTTGCAGAATAGTTTATCTAAATTACCCATTCCTTCCCTTCAGAATTGTTACGCAGGGTTCACTCTCTGGAGGATGTGTTATTTCAGTGGTTTGCTGACAGCCTTTCCAATATGCACATCCACTGCAGTTCTGATAGATGAATGATTCTCTGGATTAACAACAGCTGAATAGCTATTTAGTGATCCACTAATAAAGTTTGTTTACCTTTATTTCAACTTGGTAGATGGCATTTTTTTGCTTTTTTGTTTAGCTTAGGCTAGCAGTCTCTGGATAGTTATCCAAAGGTGCTTGATCACTTTATTACTCTGCCCATCCATTTAAAGATGCGTAAAAGCAAGCTTGTTTTATTTTCTGATGCTATGTGAATGTTTGCTCAGCGCTTAGAAAGCTTAGAAATAAAATTAATTTTATGCTTAGAGGAGCACGTGGGGCTTCTAGTTCATGCAGAAGAACAAATCTTTTAATGTTCCTTTTCAAAAGGTCCAAGTGCTTATTGGTTTCATTTTAACCTGTAAAAAGGAATTTAAAGTTCACTTTTTAACTCTGGAAGGCTTCACAGCTTCGGAAGTAGGAGTGACCCTTTGCAGGAATCTTACGTAGACTTTGGGTATTGTTTAACACTTCAGCTCTGATGCTGTGCTCCTAGAGGATGTCATTCTGATCAGACTCTTAAATTTACCTGTGAACTTCCCTGGTGTAACTGTACTTACAGGTAGGGCTTATGTTGGCCCTTCTACAGAAAACAACAGATACAGAACAAGGTCAGTTTGGTAGAAGAAGTTGGTTTTGAAATTTGAATGGGCTGAGAAGCTTTCAGAATGTGCAGGTGGGCAGCTGTATCTGAATTCTGTGCAGCTGCTCCATCTCTGGCACCATACTTATACATGGGTACTGAAGGGGAATTGCATTATTTATTTGGTAAGATGGAAGAAAGGTAAAAACTTGTTTTTAAAAAAGGCATGACTCATAAGAAAGTATTTCATTCTGCTTTTATCAAACCCTCCCCTGCCAAATAACACGTATCATCCTCTTGACACCCTTCTAAATAAGGTAACTGTTAAATCCAGTGTGTAAATGGAAAAGTAGAGACAGGGGCTGAGTTATTCCCTATATGTGGCAGAATGATATGAGAGCAAGCAGAAACGGAATTAGAAATGCTCCTTCCTAAGAACATGTGGCAAGCAGTAACCAGCTACTGTTGATAATAAACAGTAATAACCCCTGTCCAGTACATAAATAATATTTAATAGATGAGAAGCTATGAAATAAGAAAAAAGTGCCTGAGGTGTAGCCTAAGGTGCAGCCAGTTGCTGCAGCTGCTTGCTTTCTCCATCAGTTGATTTAGAGGTTCCTTTCAGCCTTCTGCCAGTCACCATGTTCTTTGGTTACGACACAGGTATCTCTTCCCAAAGTTCACTCTGTGTTGGACTGAGTTTGTAGAACTCAGGGTACACGTGCCCTGCGAAACCCTTCAGTACGTTGAAGCCAACTACGGCCCAGACTGGAAGGTTCCTGTGAAGATGTGGGACTGGAAGAGCTCACCATCCAACGTGCAGGACAATGGTGTCTGGCCCGTCGATGAATGGGATGACGTCATTCAAATCTACTGACCACCTGACAGCTAAAAGATCATGCCTGCTAGCATTGAAGTGTTGGTTTGTAATTTCCAATTTCCAAAAGGCATTCAAGATCCATTCCTTTTGTAATCTCTCATCTGTTTCCTAAGGAGACATTTACTTTTTTTTTTTTAACAGATTTGGTTTTTTTCTACCGTCATTATGCATTTTTCAGGTAGTTAATAGAAAAGATTAAAGGCAACTGAAGAGAAGGGAAGCTGGAAAAGAAGCTGTGCAAGAGGAATAGAGGAGAAATGTTGCAGTAAACCTATGAGCACTTGACTGTTTAAATGCAAACAGTGGCCCAGGTGGCTTAGACTTTCTTGGGGTCATTAAAACCTTTGGACTGTTCACTTGCCAAGCTTAAGAGACAGATAGGATGGAAGAGTCCCAGAGATGTTCCTCTTTTTTCAGAGGAGGTACTGTGAATAATCAACTTCCAAACACCAGAGTGTTGCGAGTACCTCAGATGTGCTTCATTTGAGACTGAAATATTGCTACGATATGCAGCAGGTTGTTCTTGGGAGTGGAATGTTCCCATTAGACAGAATGGGTGTGACCCAGCTGCTTGACATGTAGGGGGTGTTGGGTAACAGTGTAGTACTAAATGAGGGGAAGGAGAAGCTATCCATGTCGGACATCTTACAGTAACAGCAGGGTTTTTCCTGAACTGGCCACTGCCTGCAGTTTTATGATGAGGAATGTTATCTGTTGGTTTTGAATTTCTTTTTTTTTTCCTAAGAACATGAATGTGTATTTGGTAGGGAAGTCTTTCCCATGAAAAAGGTAAATATTCTGGGTTTGATGTCCCAATTACTATGTTCTCTATGTAAAAATCTTGACTAAATTTTAGAACATTATAGCTATTCCTGCTTTCTTCCAAGTAGATAAAAATGGAGGTATAGATTTTTCTGTTTAACATAGGCTCACAGAAGTCTCAGAGAATTGCAGCTCTTTAAATGTAAGCAGAAGTGTATACAAGTACCAGGTGTTATGTCAAATTTTCAGTATCATAATGTCATTTACTTGGTAAACATTATATCATATGGGATAATTTCTCAGGTAGAATGATTTTTTTTTCCTTAAAATGAAAAAAAAAACAATGTCATTTTGGGTTTTTTTTTGTGTTCAGAACTGTTGTTGTCATGAACTTGTTTAGTAATGTATAGTAAGCCTGTTAAGTTTTTTTGAATGTTAAAGACAAGATACTATCAGAAGATTATAATTCTCTCAGATTTTTAACTTTGTAGATGGAAAGACTAATGGAAAAAAAAAAAAAAGGCATGTCCTTGAAAGGGAAGATGTCTTAAGTAATTGATTATACCTGTATGTTTTTCTTCAGGTTAAGGTGTTTTCTCTTCAGAAGACACAGGTATATATTTAACACCAATTAAAAGGAATGTCTAATTTGCAGCTGGAGGTGTTGTTTCATGCTTTGTTTTCTCATCTTGGGCAGAATTTAACACGCTTTATTGCAGTTACTGTGCCATAACACAGAGAAATGTGTCGATCTGTTTCTTGTACCGCTTATCAACTGTCTGGAGCTTTTGTTTTTCAATGAAGACACTTAGACACAGCAAAGAGACTTGGAATAAAGCAGGTGTCAGTAGGTAGAAAAAAGGATCCTGGAATTGCACAAATACATTGCACTTCTGCATGTCTCCTGTCATGCTTTGTGCTGTGCCCTGACTGTGGGATTGTGTCCCAGGGAGCAGTGTAAACAGTGTAGAACTGCTGTTCTTCAGAGGCACACCACGAGGCTGCAGCCCTACCATTCCCCATGGGAACACACAGATATAGTCATTTGTCTCCTGACAGGTTTTCCTGAACTGCCCCATCTGAAATGGATTCTTAATTCTCCATTACCTTCCTAACTCACTAATTACCTTCTTCCTGAAGGCACCTGGACAGGAGGGCAATTTCTAAGTTCTCTCAATGGCATGTGTTTAAGCTCTTAAGCAACAACATGCAAAGTACCTTGACTTTCAGGTAGGAAACAAAGCTCATTGTATATCTGTTAAGGTTGGCAGAGCCAATCCAAGGAATACCCATGAGCCGACAGGAGGGTAGCAAGGTGTTCAAGGCTCAAGAGTAACTGCAAAGAAAGACTAAAGAAATAGGGTTGCCTATAGAGAAGAGACCATAAAGAGACATTTTAAAAAGCTGTAAAAGAAGGTTACAAAAAAGGAAGAGTTGTATGTGCTCCTTTTCCATGACTGGTAGAAAGCACAAATAAATGAGAGGAATGCAAAGTGAGGTCTCCTCTGTTAGAATAGTGGAATATTTTTACATGTGGAAATGTAAGAAGCCTTTGACTTTGGGGGCCTCTGAGAACACATCAGAAAAATGTCAGCCAAGACTGACTGTAACTAGTGTTGACTGTAGTTAATGCTATCTTCCAGCTCAAGGAAGTGCCTATTTTCCATGATTCTGTGGCAGCTTCCAGTAACTTTCTGCTTTTCCAAAATGGAAGCTGAAGTAATCATTTGTGTACGAGCTGAAGAAAGCTTGTATTTCCACAGATACTATAGCTCATACAGGTAGTGATGGAGAATTGCCACCCCACTGTGCACATGATAGGAAACTAGTGTCTTGAACACTTGAAAAATGTCATAATTTAAAACAAGAGTGCAATGCAGCTGTTCTGAAGGGTGTGTCTGAAGCCAACTGGGGCTGTAGAACCCTTACAGTAAAGAAGTTCTT